GACATGATTAACCTCCCTAGCGGTCTGATTATGTCAGTATTTCTGTGCTCAAAGCGGTACATTTTTTGCATGGAAATATGTAGTTTTTTTATTGTAGGCCTGTAATTTTTAGGAATAACTCACTGAAATCTGTCCGAACAAGAGTCTAGTAAACATCCCGGGGATGATAAAATTTGAAACACGAAATCATAAATTATAATTTAATAATCATAAAAAAAATAATATAATAATAACAAATTTAATTCAATAATATAATCAAACCAAAAACACTGAAATGTGAAATATAGCACCAAGTTCGCACATCGCTGAGCAAAGTCGCAGAATCGTTTTCAGTGTCTGATGAGGAATTTCCCCCACGAATCATTATCACTCAATTCTGCAAGTGGTTCTGATTTACTATCGCTGTTCTCTAGCCGGTCTAAAACCGCTTTTGACCTAAAGGGACGCTTTTTGGACGCCATGGACGTTTCTCAGTTTCCAGGCAGAAAGAACAGTAAAAAATGCAGGCAGGGCGCCGGACAAAGCACCCGGGACAAAATGTATGTGAAATGGTTTGATACAGGAATGTTATACTATGTGATTTTAGTGAATTTATTGAATATCACTTTTACAATTTTCAAATTTCTTGCCATTCCGTCCCCCGTACGTCCCGACGTCACAGGGGACGGAACCCGGAAGACAGATGCCGGCATCGGCCGGAGGACATTACAGGGGACACTGCAGGGGGGACATCGCGGGAGCGCAGGACAAGGTAAGTGCTGGAGAGATCCCGGAGCAAACGCTGCAGTGTATTCCCGAGTGTAGCTCGGGGTTACCGCTTGTGGTGCTGAAACTTTACCCCGAGCTACACCCGGGAATACCTCCAGGGGGGTTAACAATTAATTCATAAATGCATTGAAAACCAATTAATCCGTTCCGGAGGTCAAAAAAAAGTCTTATCTGTTCAAAACTCTTTATAAAGTGCACTGTAAAGGCATAAATACTGTACAGGGAGATGATTAAAAATTAAATCGTAAATGCATTGAAAGCCAATTAATCCGTTCGTATTTCGAAAAAAATTCGTAAACCGAGACATTATGTTCAATGTATTTTCATTCATAAACCGGAAAATTACGTTAACCGAGGCGTTCGTAAACCGCAGGCCATACATGGGTTGAATTCCGAACGAATTTTTTTTACAAAATCACTGATTTCACAATTCGACCAACCAAGCCTTCAATTTCACCTCATGTTGCTACAGAAAATAATTTTCGTGGCCAAGAATTTTCTTTTCTTTCCAGGTCACAGCTAACGCTCATTTCTTTTTCAACTACATTTTTCACATCATTGATTAGAAATTCATTAGTTTTTCAACAAATTTCCAACATGCCCGATCACTCAAATTCGATGGTCACTCGAAAATCAGCCCCCTAATGGTGCGAAATTCTAACAAAAATTCTTAAAAAGATTTTTGAAAGAAAATTGTTTCGGAATGCGACCCGTGTATGGCCAGGTTTCGGGGTTGTTGTGCTAAAACTGGAACGCTCAGAATCTGGTGCAGCTGTGCATGGGAGCCAATCAGCTTCTAACTTCAGCTTGGTCTATTAAGCTGTGACAAAAAAACCTGGAAGCTGATTGGTTTATATGCAGAGCTGCACCAGATTTTGCATTCTCCAGTTTTGGTAACAAAAAATCCTAGGGCAGGGGTGGGCAACTGTGGCCCTCCAGCTGTTGGTGAACTACAAGTCCCATCATGCCTCTGCCTTTGGGAGTCATGCTTGTAACTGTCAGTTTTGCAATGCATCATGGGACTTGTAGTTCTACAACAGCTGGAGGGCCACAGTTGCCCACCCCTGCCCTAGGGACTATATATTAGAAATAACAATAAATTTGAATAAATTTCCAGTGTTAATATCAATACCTACTACCTAATATTATAAATACTATTTTTTATTTGAATTTGTATTAATTTATATAAAAACAGAAATAGAAAAATGTTAAATATTTTTTTTAGCCCTGACCATATTAAGCAAATAAAATATATACAAAGTCACTTTTTATTCCCTTTAATAACTTCTGACATATTACTCCAAATTACATTTTGTTTTCTATGCATCTCTCCATAGATCCCCAAACCGAAAGCTGCAAGTACTTAGTGACTATATTTCACCAATAAAAAATTAATTTCAATAAATGTCCAACGTGACAAATAAATATTTACTATCTAATACTATAAATACTATGTTTATATGTTATTTTGTATTAATTTATGTAATTAAAAAAAATTAGAAACATATATTTTAAAATGTTATTTTTTGGCCCTGCCCATTTTAAACAAATAACATATATGCAAAAACCACTGTACATTCTGTTAAATAACATCTGACAAATTACCCCAAATTTCCCTTTTATTGTCAAATATTGTACTTTTCTGCACCTCGCTCTATAACCCCTCCAACCTAAAGCATTTAGTGACTATATTTCACCAATAAAAAATTAATTTCAATAAATATCCAACGTGACAAATAAATATTTACTATCTAATGATATAAATACTATGTTTAAATGTCATTTTTATGAATTTATGTAATTAAAAAATTTGAAATATATTTTAAAATGTTATTTTTTGGCCCTGCCCATTTTAAACAAATCTCATATATACAAAACCACTGTACATACAAAACCACTGTCAGAATGTACACTGGTTTTGTATATATGTTATTTGTTTAAAATGGGCAGGGCCAAAAAATAACATTTTAAAATGTGTTTCTAATTTTTTTTAATTACATAAATAACATCTGACAAATTACCCCAAATTTCTCTCTTTTATTGTCAAATATTGTACTTTTCTGCACCTCGCTCTATAACAGCTCCAACCTAAAGCATTTAGTGACTATATTTCACCAATAAAAAAATAATTTCAATAAATATCCAACGTGACAAATAAATATTTACTCTCTAATGATAGAAATACTATGTTTAAATGTCATTTTTATTAATTTATGTAATTAAAAAATTAGAAATATATTTTAAAATTGTATTTTTTTGGCCCTGCCCATTTTAAACAAATCTCATATATACAAAACCACTGTCAGAATGTACAGAGGTTTTATATATATGTTATTTGTTTAAAATGGGCAGGGCCAAAAAATAACATTTTAAAATGTGTTTCAAATTTTTTTTAATTACATAAATAACATCTGACAAATTACCCCAAATTTCTTCTTTTATTGTCAAATATTGTACTTTTCTGCACCTCGCTCTATAACAGCTCCAACCTAAAGCATTTAGTGACTATATTTCACCAATAAAAAAATAATTTCAATAAATATCCAACGTGACAAATAAATATTTACTCTCTAATGATAGAAATACTATGTTTTAAATGTCATTTTTATTAATTTATGTAATTAAAAAATTAGAAATATATTTTAAAATGTTCTTTTTTGGCCCTGCCCATTGTAAACAAATAACATATATGCAAAAACCACTGTACATTCTGTTAAATAATGTCTGACAAAGTACCCCAAATTTCTCCTTTTATTTTCAAATATTGTACTTTTCTGCACCTCGCTCTATAACCCCTCCAACCTAAAGCATTTAGTGACTATATTTCACCAATAAAAAATTAATTTCAATAAATATCCAACGTGACAAATAAATATTTACTCTCTAATGATAGAAATACTATGTTTAAATGTCATTTTTATTAATTTATGTAATTAAAAAATTAGAAATATATTTTAAAATTGTATTTTTTTGGCCCTGCCCATTTTAAACAAATCTCATATATACAAAACCACTGTCAGAATGTACAGAGGTTTTATATATATATGTTATTTGTTTAAAATGGGCAGGGCCAAAAAATAACATTTTAAAATGTGTTTCTAACTTTTTTAATTACATAAATAACGTCTGACAAATGACCCCAAATTTCTTCTTTTATTGTCAATTATTTATATAAAAAAAGGTGCAGCGCTAAAAATGAACACACAAGTATATATATTCCAAAAGTGATGAATAAAAAATGGTGACAGTTCGTGGTCTGTTCAAAAGTTGATAGTGACTTTTCAAACCCGTGATCTGGAGACAAATAGTGAAAATGCGCACTCACCAGATGCGTATTTTCAATACGCTTGTGTTATATAAACCAGGGTTTCCCCTCGCGAGATGGGATGGACGAGCTGGACCGTTTGGTGGACTCCCCTTCCTCTAGATGTAGAGCGGCCAGACTGCTACTTCCCTCTCAGAAATGGACAGGAAGTCGTGTAGTCTACATCAGGGCGTACATCATCCTTAAAACGGTTCAGGTGTCACGGGCTTGTGATGCTCAGGCACTAGAACGGATATGAGGCTCACCGCAGAGCCACCAAGAAATAGCCCATAGTGTAGTAGTTTTTTTTTTAATTAAATTTTATTGATCCACGAGGTTAATTTTCAAAACAAATAAAACAAGTACTGACCAAATGTGTAAGAAGATATCACGGCGTGCAGGCCCCTTTAAATTAATTTTGTAAATTTTTTATTTATTTATTTTTTTTTTATTCTTTTATGCTATTATGTAGTACATTTATAAGTAGTTCAGCACATTTATTGAAATTACTTTGAATTTTTGTACAAACAATACTCTTAAAAGGTCCAAACTACATAAACAAGAAATTACTAAACAACAAAGTCTCCAATGCAAGATTCAGTTTGCTTTTATTATTTCAAATCTTAGAACATAGATGTAATAAAGTACAATTACACATAAAACATCTCCACAAGCATAATAAAATGTCCCTTCTAGGTGTATGAATATATGTCATTTGTATTTTTTTCTATCAACAGCAAAAGTCGTATTATACATTTCTGACAGTGTAAAATGCTATTTGTGAACGATGAATCACACATTTTTTTTTTTTTTTCTTGGCTAAACAACATTTTTTTTCTCTTTTGAAGAGGCAGTGGAAAGAAATGTAGGAATGTTTGAGCTAAATATAGTATAGCTTCCAGCTACAGGTATTACAGTCTATCGTGTCTCAGCCTTGTCTGTTATTGCTTAGCTTTTCAGCAATCTTCTGCAACTCCATGTCCATAATTGCCAGGTTCTCCAATTCTTTCTCCTGGAAGGTAAGAACACTGTTGTTAAAATCACATCTAAAAAATTTGTAATTTTATTTAAAAAAAAAATTACAAAAAAAGAACCTAAGTTGGGGGCCATGGTTTGGGGGCTGATCCCCTGGGCAGGTGAGTATGTTTTTTATTTATTTATTTATTATTTATTTTTTATTTTTTTTACGAGAACCCTGCACACAAGTTAAGGGGATGGGAAGGGGAGAAGTAAATTCATTTTTAGGTTTTGTAGACTTTTCATAATTTATTAAAAAATATTTTTCCTGGAAGGTAATAAGAACACCGTTGTTAAATCACATCTAAAAAATGTGAGTTTTTTTGTCATTTTATTTTTTTAAAAACATTACAAAAAAAAGAACCTAAGTTGTGGGCCATGGTTTGGGGGCTGGATCCCCCGAGCAGGTGAGTATGTTATTTATTTATTTATTTTTTACGAGAACCCTGCACACAAGTTAAGGGGATGGGAGGGTGAGAAGTAAAGTTCCTTTTTAGGTTTTGTAGACTTTTCATAATTTATTAAAAAATCTTTTTCCTGGAAGGTAATAAGAACACTGTTGTTAAATCACATCTAAAAAATGTGAGTTTTTTTGTAATTTTATTTTTAAAAACGTTACAAAAAAAGAACCTAAGTTGGGGGCCATGGTTTGGGGGCTGCCGAACAAGGCTGGATCCCCTGGGCAGGTGAGTATGTTTTTTTTTTTTTTTTTTTTTTCAAGAGAACCTTGCATACAAGTTAAGGGGACGGGAGGGGGAGAAGCAAAGTTCCTTTTTAAGTTTTGTAGACTTTTCATAATTTATTAAAAAATATTTTTCCTGGAAGGTAATAAGAACACTGTTGTTTAAATTTTTGAATTTTTTTGTAAATTTATTTTTTTTAAAAACATTACAAAAAAAAGAACCTAAGTTGGGAACCATGGTTTGTGGGCTGGATCCCCTGGGCAGGTGAGTATGTTTTTTATTTATTTATTTATTTATTTATTTTTATGAGAACCCTGCACACAAGTTAAAAGGGGAGTTTTTTTGTAATTTTATTTTTAAAAACGTTACAAAAAAAGAACCTAAGTTGGGGGCCATGGTTTGGAGGCTGCCGAACAAGGCTGGATCCCCTGGGCAGGTGAGTATGTTATTTATTTATTTTTGTAAGAGAACCCTGCACACAAATTAAGGGGACGGGAGGGGGAGAAGTAAAGTTCCTTTTTAAGTTGTGTAGACTTTTCATAATTTATTAAAAATCTTTTTCCTGGAAGGTAATAAGAACACTGTTCTTAAAATTTGAGTTTTTTTGTAATTTTATTTTTAAAAAGTTACAAAAAAAGAACCTAAGTTGGGGGCCATGGTTTGGGGGCTGCCGAACAACACTGGATCCCCTGGGCAGGTGAGTATGTTATTTATTTATTTATTTAAGAGAACCCTGCACACAAGTTAAGGGGATGGGAGGGTGAGAAGTAAAGTTCCTTTTTAGGTTTTGTAGACTTTTCATAATTTATTAAAAAATCTTTTTCCTGGAAGGTAATAAGAACACTGTTGTTAAATCACATCTAAAAAATGTGAGTTTTTTTTTGTAATTTTATTTTTAAAAACGTTACAAAAAAAAGAACCTAAGTTGGGGGCCATGGTTTGGGGGCTGCCGAACAAGGCTGGATCCCCTGGGCAGGTGAGTATGTTTTTTTTTCTTTTTTTTTTTTCAAGAGAACCTTGCATACAAGTTAAGGGGACGGGAGGGGGAGAAGCAAAGTTCCTTTTTAAGTTTTGTAGACTTTTCATGATTTATTAAAAAATATTTTTCCTGGAAGGTAATAAGAACACTGTTGTTTAAATTTTTGAATTTTTTTGTAAATTTATTTTTAAAAACATTACAAAAAAAAGAACCTAAGTTGGGAACCATGGTTTGTGGGCTGGATCCCCTGGGCAGGTGAGTATGTTTTTTATTTATTTATTTATTTATTTATTTTTATGAGAACCCTGCACACAAGTTAAAAGGGGAGTTTTTTTGTAATTTTATTTTTAAAAACGTTACAAAAAAAGAACCTAAGTTGGGGGCCATGGTTTGGAGGCTGCCGAACAAGGCTGGATCCCCTGGGCAGGTGAGTATGTTATTTATTTATTTTTGTAAGAGAACCCTGCACACAAATTAAGGGGACGGGAGGGGGAGAAGTAAAGTTCCTTTTTAAGTTGTGTAGACTTTTCATAATTTATTAAAAAATCTTTTTCCTGGAAGGTAATAAGAACACTGTTCTTAAAATTTGAGTTTTTTTGTAATTTTATTTTTTAAAAAGTTACAAAAAAAGAACCTAAGTTGGGGGCCATGGTTTGGGGGCTGCCGAACAACACTGGATCCCCTGGGCAGGTGAGTATGTTATTTATTTATTTATTTAAGAGAACCCTGCACACAAGTTAAGGGGACGGGAGGGGAGAAGTAAAGTTCCTTTTTAAGTTTTGTAGACTTTTCATAATTTATTAAAAAATCTTTTTCCTGGAAGGTAATAAGAACACTGTTGTTAAATCACATCTAACAATTTTTATTTTTTTTGTAATCTTATTTTTAAAAATGTTACAATAAATGAACCTAAGTTGGGGGCCATGGTTTGGGGGCTGCCGAACAAGGCTGGATCCCCTGGGCAGGTGAGTATGTTTTTTTTTTTTTTTTTTTTTTCAAGAGAACCTTGCATACAAGTTAAGGGGACGGGAGGGGGAGAAGCAAAGTTCCTTTTTAAGTTTTGTAGACTTTTCATAATTTATTAAAAAATATTTTTCCTGGAAGGTAATAAGAACACTGTTGTTTAAATTTTTGAATTTTTTTGTAAATTTATTTTTAAAAACATTACAAAAAAAAGAACCTAAGTTGGGAACCATGGTTTGTGGGCTGGATCCCTTGGGCAGGTGAGTATGTTTTTTATTTATTTATTTATTTATTTATTTTTATGAGAACCCTGCACACAAGTTAAAAGGGGAGTTTTTTTGTAATTTTATTTTTAAAAACGTTACAAAAAAAGAACCTAAGTTGGGGGCCATGGTTTGGAGGCTGCCGAACAAGGCTGGATCCCCTGGGCAGGTGAGTATGTTATTTATTTATTTTTGTAAGAGAACCCTGCACACAAATTAAGGGGACGGGAGGGGGAGAAGTAAAGTTCCTTTTTAAGTTGTGTAGACTTTTCATAATTTATTAAAAAATCTTTTTCCTGGAAGGTAATAAGAACACTGTTCTTAAAATTTGAGTTTTTTTGTAATTTTATTTTTTAAAAAGTTACAAAAAAAGAACCTAAGTTGGGGGCCATGGTTTGGGGGCTGCCGAACAACACTGGATCCCCTGAGCAGGTGAGTATGTTATTTATTTATTTTTGTAAGAGAACCCTGCACACAAGTTAAGGGGACGGGAGGGGAGAAGTAAAGTTCCTTTTTAAGTTTTGTAGACTTTTCATCATTTATTAAAAAATCTTTTTCCTGGAAGGTAATAAGAACACTGTTGTTAAATCACATCTAAAAATTTTTATTTTTTTTGTAATCTTATTTTTAAAAATGTTACAATAAATGAACCTAAGTTGGGGGCCATGGTTTGGGGGCTGCCGAACAAGGCTGGATCCCCTGGGCAGGTGAGTATGTTTTTATTTTATTTTTTAAGAGAACCTTGCATACAAGTTAAGGGGACGGGAGGGGGAGAAGAAAAGTTAGTTTTTAAGTTCTGTAGACTTTTCACAATTTATTAAAAAAATCTTTCTCCTGGAAGGTAATAAGAACACTGTTGTTAAAATCACATCTAAAAAATTTTAGTTTTTTTTGTTCTTTTATTTTTAAAAAAGTTATAAAGAAAAAAAGAACCTATGTTGGGGGCCATGGGTTGGGTTTTTTTTTTTGGGAAGAGGCAATTTTTTTTTTCTTGGCCTCTTGCCCCCACCACATTCTGGCCCAGGCCAGAATGACATGGCATGTTCCAGCAGCCCCCTGGAATAATCTGGTCACATGTCCCAGGAGGCCACAGGAGCCCATTAACAGCTGCACGTCATGGATCCCCTGGGCAGGTGAGTATGTTTTGTTTTTTGTAAGAGAACCCTGCATACAAGGTAAGGAGATGGGAGGGGGAAAGTAAAGTTCCTTTTTAAGTTTTGTAGACGTTTCACAATTTATTAAAAAATACAAAGTTGCAATTTTTTTTACCCAAGATCCTGAACATTCAGTCTTAAAGCTTACCTACAGGGAAAGGAAAAAAAAAATCTTCCTTGCAGTCGGATTGCGTTCAGAACGGCAAGGATTAATCGCTCCTTTTAACCACTTCCAGTCCGGACACTTTTACCCCCTTCCTGTCCAGGCCAATTTTCAGCTTTCAGCGCTATCACACTTTGAATGACAATTGCGCAGTCATGCAACACTGTACCCATATGAATTTTTTTGCATTTTTTTGAGACAGATAAAGTTTTATTTTGGTGGTATTTACTCACCACTGGCATTGTTTGTTTTTTTTTTGCTATGTAAATGAAAAAGTCCAAAAATTTTGAAAAAAAAGTGTTTTTCTTATTAAATTTTACAAATAAATAATATTTCATCATACATCTTGGCCAAAATGTATTCAGTTATCTTTTTAGTAAAATAAAATAACCCAAATTAGTTTATAACCAAAAATTATAATTTTAAAAACATTATTTTTACATTTTTATTTTTTTTTGTATTATTATTTATGTTGTTTTTTTTTTTTTACATACTGTCACCCTAGCAGTACAGTGTCACCATGGTGACACTGTACTACTGTGGGGGGTGATGAAGATTTTTCCTTTTTATACACTGATTGCTTTTACACCCATAAAGGCTGTAAAAGCAATCATTTCTCCTTCTCTCTGGCTGCATTCTTGCAGCCATTGAGAAATACTGTGTGAGCTCTGATTGGTCACAGCTTGTCACATGGTACAAGGCTGTGGTGAATAGCCCTGTACCATGTGACCTCTGTGATCATTCACAGATTTCACACGTAGTAAGCAATGATGTCACAAGTGACATCTTG